CACTATACTACTCCAGGGTGAGATGATGCCAGCTAGGTTGCAGTGGCAAAGGAGATCGCAAGACGTGAACACACTCAGAAGAGTGAAGGTTAATTGGACGGGACTGGTTGGTGCACTGGAAAGAAATGGGAAAAGAGAATGATGTTAGGAAGTCTCTGAAGTTGCTGCCTCACAGAACAGCTGGATCATGACAGCATTCACCAACAGAGGGAACCCCAGGAGACAACGAGCTGGGCAAGACCTCATAAAGTCAGCTTTGGACACCTTGGCTTTGAGCTATCTTTCAGGCAGTTCGGTATGTGTGTCTGGAGCTCAAAGGGGAGAAAGGGCCAGTCTGAACAGTTGTAGGATCTTGGGTTCCAGGTGAGACACACAGGCAGAGGGCAGCATGAGAGGAACTGGCCTGTGTAAATGTGAGCCTCTAAAGGAGAGAGGACACAGGACCTGAGGCGATAAGGACGGATGTGAAAAATCTCTTTTATATCTGGAGACATGAAATCATTGGTAACTGTAGTAAGGGCTGTTTGATAGTGGAGGGACCGAGGCAAGCCCAGTTTTAGAATGGGTTGAGGAACGAGTGGGAAGTGAAGAAATGAAGACAGCTTGGCTGAGATTTGGGTTGTGAAGGGAGAGGAGAGAGAGGAGATAGCTGGAGGCGGGTGTGAGATGGAGGAAGTTTTTTGTTGTTTTTTAGTGAAGAGACTCAAGCATTTGTAAATGCCAGTGGGAAGAATCCAGATTTGATGGCGCTGGGGGTTGAGGAATGGCTGGATTCTTGGATCTACCTGAGAGAAAAGGGAATAGGGTAAAGGTTGGAGAGGGAGGAGCAGGGCTGAAGGAAAGGATGGGCTGGGGCAGCCGCTGTGGGCTGGCATGATTGGTTGTGGGAGATGAGAGTGTGGCATTTAATAGCCCATCTTATGAGCTAAAAGGTGAGGCTCCCGCCACTTATTTCCCTTTCTGGGCAGCCCCTAATGGCCCTATTCCATGAGTGTGGTGACTCAGTTCTCCTGCCTCAGCCCTACCCATCAGAAGGCCTCCCCTCCGCAGAGCAGGAAGGCAGAGGAACTGCCCAGGGGCTCAGGTAGCAATGCTGAAGGACAATACCAGAAATCACTTCTCAGCAGTGGGATCACAAGCAAAGGGCAAACAGACACTTGCCCTGGAGGGAGTCTCAGCTGTTTATTTTGGTTTCGCATTTTTTTGTGGAGGATAAAGAGGGAAGAGCAGAGCACAGTGGGAACCTGAAATCCTGGGGTGGGGATGGGTGAGGGTGACAGGAATAAGTGGGGGTCCTTCCTTCCCGGGCTGGGCCCCCTTTGAAGTAGAAGAGGGAGAATGTTCTTCAGTAGGAAGAGAAAGGCTGGGGCAACTAGAGTGCCTAGGCCTCCTGGCTGGGAGGGAGCTGCCTGCAAAGAGGAGGGGAATGGGGTAGCAAGAGGGGGCTGCGACTGTAGGGATCCCCACATGATGCTACACTTCAGTGTGAAGAAGTGGCCCTATTTGCTAGAGTAGGCCAGGTACACACCTTTCCAGTGTCCCCTCCTCTGCACAGGCTGTGGGGATGGTGTTGAGGTGACCTTCTTTCTTTGGAGTCCAGGCATATGTAATATGAGGCTCTCCACCCCTGCTGCGAACTAAGTTCTGGGACATAGGGAAGGCTGGGAGGGGGTGAAACTTTTTTTTTTTTTTAATCATTAACCTGGTTGATTGAAATCTGAACTGTGGAGCCTCCCAGCTCTATTGATTTTCTCTGAAAGCCCAGCAGCTGGAGCCAGTGGCTGCTCAGAGACCAGGGAGAGGAAAGGGTAGAGGTAGGGGAGGGGGCAGGGGGAACAATGGGAAGTCAGCCAGGAGTGCAGGGTTGGGAAGGAGGAAGCAGGAAGGAGGCAGGGTTGGAGGGTCAGATGGTGCAGAGGGGTCTTTGGGGACCAGAGGGTGGTCAGAAAGTCTCTAGGCATCAGGGCGGGTGAGGTCGGCCCAGCCACAGAGGCACTGCGGAGAGCAGGGAGGAGACAGAGAGGATCTGCCATAGGACAAAATCAAAGCTCAGAGAAGCACAGTGACCGGCTCAAGGTGACAGGGTCAGAGCTTGCACCAAACCCAAGCTCAGCAGACTTCACTGCACTGAGGAGAAAGGACACAGAAACGAAGGCCCAAAGCTCAGGAGAAAAGCTGAGATGAAGGACATGGAGAGTTGGTAAGAAGAGAGATTTGATTTACAGGTCACCATGTTTTTGGGGACAGGAGCCTGCCTTCTCTGCTCAGAAGAGTAGAGCAGACACAAAACAATAGCACTGGTCTGACTGAGGGCGATCAGGCCATCAGGTGTTACTGAACCAGGCCCACTATGCCCTCCGCACACTGTGCCAGCCACTGAAGCAACAAGTTTTGTCAAAGAGAATTTATCCATAGAACAGTTAAAGGTGAGGATGGGGAGTCCCTAGACCCAAATCTACCTCCCAGAGGACAAAGTTCACAGATATTCATGGAGTCAAAAAATGGGGTGGCTGTCGTTCGCATCTAGAATGTCCTATGGAAGCCCGTGTGTGAGCAGCTTGGTCCTCAGTTTGGTGATTTTGGGAGATGGTGGAACCTTTAGGAGGTAGAGCCTAATGGGAGGAAATGAGGTCACTGGTGAGAGCCTCGAGGAGGACGTTGGTACTGGTACTCTTCTTTCTCCCAACATGATACACTAGGCTGCTGAGGGCCCAATGCAATGTGGTCAAGCAGCCGTGGACCAAAACCTCTAAAATTGTGAGCCAAGAACCTTTCCAACTTTTAAGTTGGTTTTCTCAGGTATTTTCTTAACAGCTGTGGAAAGCCGACTAACACAAGGGTGTCTGCGGCATGGGAAAAGGTGATTGATTAGAAGCAGGGAAAGGGGAAGTAATCAGTGGTTTCTACGTGCACAAACTTCACGGCTCTTTATAAGAGGCATGTTCTGAAAATGGCAGTGTTAGTAAGACCCATGAGTGGAGTTTCTGGCTTTCTAATGTCAAAAGGTCACCTACTGGATACTTGTGAAGGTCCAAGAGAAAGGGTCAGTGGTTTCATCCACTTTGAGCCACACGAGGCTATCTCCAAGTTCCTAAAAAAAACTAACTTAATCCTTACCAAGGTGGGTGACCATATGTCAGAGGTGTTATCTACAGGAAAATTAGCAAGGGCCTATTACATTATTGTTCAGTTAATGACTTCTAGAATCAGTGATAAAAGCAGCTAAAGATGCGGTGATGAATGCATGTATCCCAGCACTCTGGAAGGCTGAGGCAAGAGGACTGCAAGTTTGAGCCTAGCCTTAGCAACTTAGTGACTTCATAAAACCTTTGTCTTAAAAAAATACAAAAAAAAAAGGGGGTGGGCATAGCTCAGTGTGAAGGCTCTGAGTTAAATTTCCAGTACCAAAAAACAATAAAACAGCAACTAAAGCAAATGGATTTATTCAGGTATTTCCTGGATTTTAAAAGGAAAAAAAATGTTTCTTGGTTTTTGAACTTTAGGTGAGGGGAGAATGGCTGAAGTCTTTTTTTTTTTTTTTTGGCATTTTAAAATTTTAGATATATACAATGACAACATTCATCACAGGGAATTTGTACCTGTACATGATGTATCTTACTTCTTCTTTTTTTCCCATTCTCCTCCCTTCAACTCCTGCTTCCTAATGTCTTTTAAGGGAAATTCTGTGTTTTGGCTGGGGGGGGGTGGTTTTTTTGGTTTTTGGTGGGGTTTTTTTTGTTGCTGATGCCTTGAACTCAGGGCTTCACACATGCTAGACAAGTGTTGTACCACTGAGCTATACCCAGAGCCCAAGGGAGAAAAATGATTCATTTCCTTATGGAGACTTGGTTATAAAGAGGAAAGGGGTAGAAGAGATTCTCAGAGGAGTTACATAGCAAAGAACACAGAGAAAACATCTATTCACTTAGCCAAAACCTGGGCCTGAACAGTTGGGTTTCACCAGGCTATCACACGGCTCCTAGCTCCTTATTACTTGTGACAGTAAGGCACACAGGTCCGTGTGACTCTGAGACAGACGGGGAGCCACCTTCTGCTGGGTAGAGATACAAACACACACACAGGCACTCACATGCCACCCTGGTGCCCACAACTCCCCTCGCCAGTGCCAGCTCCTAGAATAACTCCTCTGAGCTGGAGGGAACACATCAGGCCTTCCTGGGGAAGACAGAAAAGGAGGGGAAGAGGCTGGCTCTGAAGACAGAGCTGGTTGGTACACGAAGAGCAGAAGCCATCTGATGGTGGAGAGAGATGGGAACCATGACAACGCTCACACAGCACAAACACAGACAGCTCTGGTGTCAAAAAGTGCTAGGATTTTCAGAATGAAACAGTCTCTGAGGCCATGTTGTTACTGGCCACTTAGGTTCGTACGTTCAGGTTCATCCACTCACCACTGGCCAGATCAAAAGAGACCATATATTTTGTTAGGAAGGGAAAAGGATTTATTCAAAGCTAGCTCCCAGGAGATGTACGAGCCTAATTGCCTCAAATCACCATCTCACCATATACAGGTATACTGGGGTCCTTCATAACAAGGAAGAGTGTGTGAGGGAATACAATGTCACAACAGACATTTTCAGGCTAGCCGCATCCCTTCCTCTCCCTTCCTTGGACCCAGACCTCTCTCCCTCCCTTGCTTAAGGGAATGAAGTTGAGCATTACCTCCTGGTACCAGGAGTGGGTGAGAGGTTGCAGGGGGTTATGCCCTACACCTTAAGAAAGTTTGGAAACCACTTGATGCCAAAGGGAAAAAAAAAATCTAACTTTTAAAGCTCCATTTTGCAGTGCTGGCTACAGTGTGGAGCGTGCCATGGGACCCTAAGTTCTGTTTGTGGTTATGGCACTAGCAGGTGCCAATCTGGCTGGCACTGTGTCATGGAAGCCTCAGCCTGGACATTCCAATGGGAAACTGGCTACAGGGTGAGGGACCCCAGGCTGGGAAGTACAGAGCCGCCTAACACGTCTTCTTCCTCTGACAGCTCAATATCCTGGTGGACACAGGCAGCAGTAACTTTGCAGTGGGGGCTGCCCCCCACCCTTTCCTTCATCGCTACTATCAAAGGCAGCGGTGAGTCTGGGAGAGTGCAGGGCAGGAGCCAGTCCAAGGAGAGGTGGGAAGGGCACAAGGAGAAAGGAGAGGGTGGCCAGGAGAAGTAGAGGGGGTACTGGAGAGCCATACCCCGGGAAAAGGTAAACTGCAACACAGCTTGTGTGAAAGGGATGTAGCCTCATGGCTCCCAGAGCCATCTCCACGGCTCGTTTTCTACCTACACGGGGAGGTAAGGGAACTTCACCCACAAACCCTCAGTGGCTTGCTGTTTTCTAGTAGCAGCTGTAGGTACGCCGAACAGGCTGTAGCCTTACCCTGGGGCCCCTCCAGGTGGCTTTGCATGGTTCAAGGACGTAAGGGAAAAGATCTTCCCCAACCCCCACTACCTGGACTCACATCAGGGATTGAAAGCTCAACAGTATCCTCCCCGCATCAGCCCAAGTGCCACCTGCTGGGTTCAGCTTACTGGAGAAAGGGAGAGTGGGAGTGGGTTTTTAGGTGAGAGAGGCAGTGAGGGATGACCCCGAAGCCCTCCTGGCATAAGAGCAGGATGAGGAAGTGGTGAGAAGACATCTCATGCCTAAGCCGCCTGCGTGTGAGTAGCTGTATCCTAACTTCGGACTGCTAGGCAGGTACAAGCCCCACCCCCACTTCCTGACTTCTTTAACCCCCACCCCATTAACGTCCCTTCTAAAGGAACAGAAAGTGGAGTGCGCGCAGGATCAATTTAAAGCACTCATGCCCAGTCTTCGTCCCAGTTCTATCATTACTCCCCTCAAACCTTGATTAGTGACATGATTAAACAGAAGTGGGGGCAGCAACACTTGGATGAATGTGCTTTGCCAAGTGGTGTACAATACCCACCTGCTCTGAGACGCTTGTGCAAATCTCTTCTCTAGAAAAACTTGCTGCAGAGCCTCCACATTCACGCTGCCTGGAAACTTCTCCACCACTCAGATGGTACCACCAGGTCCCAAGGCAGAGTCAATGGCTCCTTTGCTCTGGGAGCTTGTTGGAACCACAGGGAGAAAGAGATGCTGGCTAGCTGGCCCCACAGAAGCAGCAAGCACAATGCACAAAGCCTAGCTTGTTCTTCGCAGGCTTGAGCTCCAGATCTAGGAATGTGAGCTCTGGAGATGGGACAGCCCCAGCAATAGCTCCCCTCATCTGTTATAAGATCCTATTACATTCTGTTCTGGGCAGTGGGTCTAGGGGATCTTCTGCAGAGCAGCCTGAAAGCAGACTGTTAGGATGCCCCTGAGCTAGGCGGCCTTTGGGAGTATGTTTGATGCTGGGTCTCCGTAGCAGATGTTGTGTTTATGCATCCAGATCTCTGCCTCCTTTCCACAGGTCAAGCACATACCGGGACCTCCGGAAGGGCGTGTATGTGCCCTACACCCAGGGCAAGTGGGAGGGGGAGCTGGGCACTGACCTAGTGAGCATTCCTCATGGTCCCAACGTCACTGTGCGTGCAAACATCGCTGCCATCACTGAATCAGACAAGTTCTTCATCAATGGCTCCAACTGGGAAGGCATCCTGGGGCTGGCCTACGCTGAGATCGCCAGGGTGAGGAGCAAGGCTGGTCCTATATACTATGTCTGCACAATGCACACTGCATGCTACACAGGGGAGGAGTTAAGGGAAAGAAGGGGGACTAAGGGAAACACATCGGTTTGAAGGGTTCTTCACCGGGACAGGGTGGCAGTCTGAACTTTACTGCTACGGAAGGCAAACCACAGTGAGAGCAGCTACGATAGGTACAGGAAGAGGCTGTGGTTTCTGTGCAGCCTAAGATCTTTGGTTTGCTTGTGTTGAGACAGGGTGTCACTATACAGTTGAGGCTGGCCTCCTACTCACAGCAATCCTCCTGCCTCAGCCTCTGAAGTGCTAGGACTACAGGTGTGCACTACCATGCCAGGCTTAAATTCTTTGTGTGCACCCTAAGATGTTTAAGGGAGGCTCTCATAAACTTGAAGCAGGTTGGGCATGTGGGAATAAACGATCCTATGGCTCTGTGGGCCATACTTAACTTTTTTGCATGGCCACTGTCTCTTGCTAACCCTCTACCTGCCAGAATTTAGTAACTCCAGGTGGTGATTCCCAAGGAACATCCCCAACTTTCTGCTTTTTCCTTCCAGTGTAGGCAGGAAGCTAGCCTCTGTCCAGCAGGGACAGATTTACTGTGAAGATTTACTCTTTTGTCTCCTTTTGCCGCAGCCTGATGACTCGCTGGAGCCCTTCTTTGACTCTTTGGTGAAGCAGACACACGTTCCAAATCTCTTCTCCCTGCAGCTCTGTGGTGCAGGCTTCCCCCTCAACCAGTCTGAGGCTGTGGCTTCTGTCGGAGGGAGCATGGTAAGTAGGGCCTCAGAGGATGGAGGACCTTGCACGTGGAGAGACATGGGTGCCATCTACCCATCCCTTCTTAGGGCAACCACATGGTCTTGGCTCTACTACTTCAAATCAGGAGAGGCCTCTTGATATTCCCCATCCCTACTTTTCTTTTCCATTCTTCTCTTCCTTACGTTATTCCTGAAAAGGACTCGAGGATCTATGGTAAACTTGGAAAGGATCAGAAGTACTTAGGAACCATTTCAAAGGAAATGAAAGTAAGACCTATTAATGGTCAGAAGGCAGAAATTTCAAGAGTTTAAGTTTATTTATTCATTAATTAGGACAATGGTGAATGGTTCACCAACACAGAAAAATAAAACTTAGAAGCAATAATCAATGCATTCAACATTTATTTGCCAGTTTAGGTTTAAATAACTTCATGTCAAGGACTATGTGATTCTGAAACAAATAATTAAGATCCTATCAAGCCTTTTCTCCTGAACACACTTAGAGAGAATACATCACTTTGGGATGTGACTGATTAGAAGCTGGAAAATGGAAACGGGTATATGCAGAGGGCCTTGCTACCCCAAGATGAGACTGAGCTGACCGCTTGTCTTTGTGACTTGCTCGTCTGTGCCAGCACACGGTGCCTGTCTCCTTCTCTCTTAGATCATTGGGGGTATCGACCACTCGCTATATACAGGCAGTCTCTGGTACACACCCATCCGGCGGGAGTGGTATTATGAGGTGATCATTGTGCGGGTGGAGATCAATGGACAAGATCTGAAGATGGACTGCAAGGAGGTAATAAAACCAAGGGGGAGCCAAGCAGAGAAGAGGGGGTAGGTACCACACATGGGGAGCACCTCACGTTACAAGGTTGGCAGGATGAGGCAGAAGTACAGTACAAGGCTGCAGAGAGGGTAGGGGCTGGGCTCAGAGGTCAGCTTAATGGTCACAGAGCAGGACCTGAAGTTAGGAGCCAGGAACTGGCAGAGCACTTTCACAGGGACCGTAGGCTTACATAGTAACATGAGTGGAAAAAAAAAACAAAAAACCCCAAAACCCATGAAACTAGTTTGTCTGGACTCTAGTCACTGCCTTGCTTCACAGGCCTTGGGCAAGCTGTTTGCAAGGCAGTGTGTTAGATGTCCTATAGGAATCCTGCTTTAGAGTCACAGACCTAGATTTGAAGCTAGCTCTGCCATTTACTAGCTGTGTGCCCGTAGGCTTGTTACTCTGTGTTTCAGTTTCCTCATCTGCAGACAGAGGTAAAAACAAATTTCCCAAACATTATAGAAAAGGTCAGAGACAGCACACAAAGTATTTGTCCCTGTGGTTGGCAGTACCCAACAAATACGAGCTAAACCGTTTGGGCCTCCTTCCCTAGATTCTTGCATGTGCTAAATCAGAATACATGTAAAAATACTATGTGAAGTTAAAAACACTATACCAGGGACTTTTTGTTTTAAGATTTGGAGAATGTTTGCCCACCCAAGATAATAAGAGCTAACCTTTACTGAAGTGCCTCCTGTCTGTGACACACCACTCTAAGTGTTAATTCAATGTATTAGTTTATTTAATCATTACAATAATTTTTGAGGTAGGTACTACTATATCCACATTTTAGAGACAAGGAAACTGAGGCACAGAAGTTAATTAACTTGACTAAGGAGGTACATACACAAGCTGGCAAAGCCAAGATGCCAACCTGGCAGTACCCCAAGCAGTCAAATTCACCCTTCTATCTCTGCCCATAGCCAGGTATCAAAAAAGCTCTTCTAACCCTTTCCTCTCCTTCCTAGTACAACTATGACAAGAGCATCGTGGACAGTGGCACCACCAACCTTCGTCTTCCCAAGAAAGTGTTTGAGGCTGCAGTCAAATCCATCAAGGCAGCCTCCTCGGTCAGTGCACTAAGGATAGGGTACAAGAGATGACATGGTATCACAGGAAGTCAGTGACACCTGAGGGACGGCAAGAGCCAAGATGACTACAATTAGATCCTTCTACTTAAGAGCTCTTAAACACTGGTCTCCTGTACTGGTCTCGGTTTACTCGCCATCTAATGCCGCTGGTACAGAACTTTGCCCTCAGTCTCCTTTCGACCCCTAACCCTTGGCTGTAGTTTACCTTTCCCTGCTTTGGATGTTTCCCCCAAAGAAGCAAATAAAGGGCCCAGTCAGTGTTATGAAAACAGGCGCGCAAGATGATGGAGGCTGACTCCTCATTGTTATCCTTTTCTTGTCAACACAGACAGAGAAGTTTCCAGATGGCTTTTGGCTAGGGGAGCAGCTGGTGTGCTGGCAGGCAGGCACCACCCCTTGGAACATTTTTCCTGTCATCTCGCTCTACCTCATGGGTGAGGTCACCAACCAGTCCTTCCGTATCACCATCCTTCCACAGGTACGTCCCTAAGCTGAGGCAGTGGGATCCCAGGAAGAGGACAAAATACAAATTAAAAGACAGTGACCGGCTTGGCTTCCCAGATCTTGGGAGACAAGATAGATGAGTGCCCAGTGGTAAAGGGGTTTTGGAAAGCACAACCTCTTGGGGCTCAGGGATGGCAAAGGGAAGAGCTACCTAAGTGCAGCCATACCTAGAGGGCAGAGATGAGGTGGAGCATGAAGCAAGGAAGACACCCTGTCACCCTGCAACTGTTTACCCCTAGCAATACCTGCGGCCTGTGGAAGACGTGGCCACGTCCCAAGATGACTGTTACAAGTTCGCCATCTCACAGTCATCCACTGGCACGGTTATGGGAGCTGTTATCATGGAGGGCTTCTACGTCGTCTTTGATCGGGCCCGAAAACGAATTGGCTTTGCTGTCAGCGCTTGCCATGGTAAGAGCACGGAGATGAGGGTATGGTTCAATTCGTATTCCCACTGTCAGCAGTTAGGCTACCTGGGCCCCTGTCCGTTTGGGAGGCAGTAACAGTGGCCTCAGGCTAAAGTCAGCATAGTGTGCAAACGCTGGTGCCTGTGCTCACCCTTTAAAAAAATAATTAATTAATTAATTTTTTGGAATTGCCTGCCCTGGTGACCCCTGCCTAGACTGGAAAGCTCTGTTGGAAACCACTACAGCAAGAGCTGCCTGGCCCCCTTAGGAAGCTCTGGATAGAAGGGCAGCGGGCTAACCTTCAGGGAGCCCGTCAGGTGCGCTATTGTACGGTGAATGCTCCTGCACAAAGGTGACAGGAGTTTCGTTCCCCCACGATGTAACCAGGGAAGGGTGCTACTCTTAGGGCTATGAGAGGGGAGACAGGCCCCCGTCTAGCACTGGCTTTCCTGCCTGCTCCTGACTATCTCCACAAGGAGGACTAAACAGAGCTTGATTTCAAGGTGTCACTACCCAGAAGTTCTTTTTGTTGTGTAACTCAAACTGCTGTGGGACAACCGAGAGCTATCCCTTCACATCTGCCCTTTCCCCAGTGCATGATGAGTTCAGGACAGCAGCAGTGGAAGGCCCTTTTGTCACCCCGGACATGGAAGACTGTGGCTACAACATTCCACAGACAGATGAATCGACCCTCATGACCATAGCCTACGTCATGGCTGCCATCTGCGCCCTCTTCATGCTGCCACTCTGCCTCATGGTGTGCCAGTGGCGCTGCCTGCGCTGCCTCCGCCATCAACATGATGACTTTGCTGATGACATCTCCCTGCTGAAGTGAAGAGGCCCGTGGGTAGAAGACCAAGATTCCCCTAGACCACATCTGGGTGGTTCCCTTTGGTCCCAAGTCGGAGACACAGATGGTACCTGTGGCCAGAGCACCTCAGGACCCTCACACACCCACCAATGCCTCTGCCTTGACAGAAAAGAAGGAAAAGCTGACAAGGTGGGTCACAGGGCTTGCACCTGTAGGAAACAGGAGAGGGAAGAAAGAAGCACTCTGGTGGCAAGAATATTCCTGGGTCACCTCGAACGTGAGCTGGGAGATTCTGCTGCTTGAACCTTCAACCCTGAACCTTTGCCCACCATGCATTTAGATTCTCTAACCCAAAGTATTCTTTCCTTACTTTCAGAAGTCCTCACATCACACCCAGGCTACCCCAGCGTGTAGCTCTGCGGTACCCTGGCAAAGAGCCAACCTCATATCCCTGCTGGCAAAGTCAGCAGAAGATACATAATTTGCTATTTGTTTTAGAGGTAGGGACTAGGTAAGCAGGCCTAACACTGGTGCCAGACTGCCTCTCGAATGAAACAAAAAGCTATTAGAATATTTATGTACGGGGGGCAGTTAGAGGAGAGTACGAAGACAGGGAATTGGTATTAAAGTTAGGAAAAACAGACACAGCCACTCACCAGTCCCAGTTTGAGACCTCACCTCCAAGGCAGAACCCCATCTTATGAGATGGGTGTCATTTCCCAGTGTTTATGTGGTTGCAGGCTGACCAAAAGTGAGATGGGAAAAAGGGCTTATCTAGCCAAAGAGCTCATTTTAAAGCTCTTTTAAATGAAAGATGCCCATGAAGAAGTTCCACTTAAATGAATTTCTATCTTATTAATTCCATTTGTCTCTGCTTGAACCCTTTCTTCTATATATGATAGGTGCCACCAGAACATCCCAACCCCCAAAGCCCTAGGTGCCCTATGGCAGAGCAATTGGAATATAGCAGGGCTGGGCGCTGTCTCCTTGGTCACATGTTCACTCCTTCCCCCAAAGCCCTCTTGCTCTGGAGCTTTGCAGCCAAGGTGCTAAAAGGAATAGAGATGAAACCTCTCCGACCTAACCCCTGAAAGCAGGTATAGGGTTGACGCCTTATACCTCTGCCTAGATTTCTTCCTGTTCTGCTCTAAGAAGTGGTAAGACCTTCATATAACACTGAGTGGTTTCATTGCTTTCTTACCCTCTCTAACGGCTCCTCCATTTATTTGACTAAGGCATCACACATTGGCTAGTATTACATCGAGAATGTCAGAAACATGGGGCTTTCTGGCTCTGAGTCATTGCCTTCCGTATAAAGGCCACCTGGAGAAAGGATGGCAGCCTCAGGGCTTCCTTATTTCCTTCACGTTTTCCTTGTTGGAGGCTCTTCTCTTCTCCCACCCTGTTCTCTGTGCTATTCCCAATGTACATGGGTACCCAGGCTGGTTCTTGGGCTAAGCAGTAGGGGCCAAGTTCACTTCCTCTGGTCAGTTCTACACAGTAGACTGTGATACCAGTGTTAGTGGGACCGGCTGAGTGTTCGCAGTTTACCTGCTGCATCCTAACCCTATCTGGTCTACACACTACTTCCAGGTAGGGGACCTGGCAAGTGTGGGACTGCCTGATGAAGGAGAAGGAAACACAAGGAGGGCCTCTGGAGTTGCTGGCCTTAGCCAGCTGCCCACAAGCCATAAACCAATAAAACAAGAATATTAAGTTAGAGTTTTTTATCTGGGTTCTCTTCATTCCCTCTGCACTTGGTGCTGCTTTGGCTGACTGGGAACACCCCAACTACAAAGACTGACAGGAAGACCGGAGACCGTCCGCTTCCGACTCACAACTCACGGTGTAAATAAATTTCCAGACCTGCTACCATGAAATGAAAATGCCACATGCTGCTTTACAATTTCTACCCATGTTGGGGAAAACTGGCTTTTCCTCACTCTTTTCTAGGGCATAAAACTCAACCCATTCATTAGTAAATCTCATGTCCTATTTTTTTTTTTAAGAGAAAACTTGGATTTATTTTTCTTTTTACAGTTATTTCCTTTCTACCCTGAAACTATAAACTCTAAGTAAAAAAAAAAAAATCCTAACAAAAGCTTCTTGCTTGTAAAAACATGTATTCTATAGCTTAAAGTTTTACTCCTGAAAAGTGACTGGTCCTGCCTCCACACACTGCAGCCGTGGCCCTCGCTCCAGGCTACGTGGGCTGTACCCCTGTAGGCCAGGCAGAGGGAGAAGGGAGAACGGGGTGGCCACGACTTAAACATTGCTTCTGACTGGTCCTCATCAAGGAAAAGAGAAACAAGGAGGCCCCAGCTCCATGGACAGCTCTCCGGAACACTTACTCTCTGGCTACAGTTAGCTTTTCAGGAGCTTTCACCAGGAAGTAGATAAACTACCTCCTCCTCCCTTTTTCTCTATTCCTTTGGCTTCAAAGACTTTTGGAAAATAATATATACATAACTTTTCCCCTTCAGGCAATCTGAAATTTCAATAATCTTGCTCTGGATAGGGCAAGATAGGGACTCAAACTAAAGAAACAATATTCTTTATACTCTCACCAATTTCTAAATTCTGGGGAGACAATTTAAAGATATTATAGGGAGTCCAGGGCTACTGAAAAATTGAAGGAAGAGAAAAATCTTAAGATCACTGGATGTGGTGGCACACACCTATAATCCCAGCATTCAGGAGGCTGAGGCAGGAGGATCACAAGTTGAGGCCAGCCTGGGCTCATAGTGAGTTCAAGACTGGCCTGCACTATTAAACAAGACCCTGTCTCAAAAAAACAAACAAAAATTACAAAAAATGAATCCCCCAAGTGAAAAGAACAAAAAAACTGGTCTTCTATTTGGCCACCTTTCTTGTTCATGGCAGTACCAAACTGGAGACACTAACAGTTTACTGACCAAAGAAAGTAAGCCATCTGACCTCTAAAGAGTTGAGTACTCAGGCCACTCCAATCATTCTACAAGATGCCAAGGAGATCCTGGGAAATCCAGCTACTTAAATTGATGCTGGTCAATAAACCTGGGCAAGTAAGACAAGAGAAAAGACAAAGCATTCATCCATGAGCTGATAGGCAAGGATGAAGACAAAGAAAGGAAACGGTTAACAAAAACAGAAAGGGGAGGGTTTAGTTGCATCTGAATGGCAAAGTCTTCATTACCCTGATGTGGACTGCCAGTACCAATAAGCATTTCTAGTCCCAGAATGGGAAAAGTTCAGTTGCTAGTAATATAATGATGTCTTTCCTCTGGAGTGAATTTTTTAGTTTACTTTCAAAACAGAAGCGAGCTAAAGCCATTTCCTGTAGGAGGAAAGATAAAAGGATAGAAAAAAAAAAAGTCGAAGGTCCAATAGAATCACAGCCTTCTCATGTATAAAACCTAAAAGCCAGAAGTACTCAATTAGCAGAGGTGGGAAACATCTAGTTCCAGATAGCGGTCCACAGAACAGATGATTTATAATCCTGAAATCCCACCTCCCTTCTTTGTATCACTTTGGTCTCCATTTTTCCCAGGGAAGGAAACATGTCCGCATAGCTTTCTTGCTTCCAAAATTAAAACCCAGCATCCCAAGGTCCTTCTGCAAGTAATTTTGCACAGACATCTTTTCACCCCAGTGCCTGTCTGGAACTCACCCATGGTCACCAAACAACTTGGCTGTAAACCAACTGCCTTAACCTTCAGGGGGAAGGGGTTAGCTAGACTAGGAGCCCAGGATGAATAGGATGAGATGAAGCCTTCACAAGGCTGACCTGTCAGAGCTTGATTAGAAGCCAGGCCAGTGGTAGCAAGGGATGATTTGGCCCAGGAAAAACTGTGGTTTATGCTCATTTCTATCCAGGAAGTAGAGTAGACAGAAACTTGTAGAGGAAATGGAACCTGGTTATGTTGTTATTCTTGGACTGTGAATTTTACTGATGTAAAACAAAATACTCTGTAAACCTAATGTCTATGTATAAATAATTAAAATTAACAGTAAACTATTCAATGAAAAGTCATACTACTAGGATTACATTTTTTTCCTCAGAGTCTCACTTTATCTACTTGAAGTGGAGTGGCTAGAACAATACTGAGGGTTTTGGAGGCTCTTGGTAAGCAAGGCAGCTGGTAGGACAGCACGTAAGCACCAGGCTTCAAAACAGCACACATGAGCCTTAAGAAATGGATTACAGACTGAGCCAAACCAAAGCACGATGGCTTTAGAGCAACGACAGCAACTTCTTAGATATATCTGAAAACAGCCCTAGGCAAGGATATCATAATTTCAAGGCCAAACTAAATAGTATCTTCCCTACAATCTGCACCCCCTAAAGAACTACAAGATAAGGGGGAGGGGACAGAGTGTTTCTGCATTATATACATACTTTCATTTACGAACATTTCAATACAGACTTTCTATACACACATTACCTACATAATAAAAATGTACATGGCGTGAGTATATGTCACTGTATAAATATAGAGTTTTAGAAATCTTGAACCCGCACTTCCTGTTCACATCAGTTTCTCCTCTTCTTCCTCCCCAGTCAGGTCCGTCATTTAAGAGTTGGACAAAAGGGACAAGTGTCATTTGTGTTGGTCTGCGCCCAGAATTTGATACACTGGAAAGAAAGAAAGACACACCTCAGGTTTTTCTGGGGAGAACAAGGGAAGGAAGGAGAGAATGACGTTAAGGTTCACAAGGACTAAGCCTGAAGTTCTCACTGTGGGGGACCAAACGGGATATTTCACTGGCTCTTACCCAAAGGAATCTTCAGAGCAGGTGAACCTGTGGATTTTACTAGGACCAGAAACAAACAGCTACAGTAATAAGGGGTCTCCCAAAGCTGCTTTTGTTGAGTATCAAACGAGGCTTGTTCCTTATGATCCATTTGACCTGAGATGAGTTTCCACCTAATGCTCATCACCTTCAAATCTTATTCAGGACTTTTTCTTTTCTTTTCTTTTTTTCTTTTTTGAGACAGGGTTTTGCTATGCAGTCCAGGCTGGCCTTGAACTTACTTTGTAGCCCAAGCTGGCCTCAAACTCATAGCAATCGTCCTGCCTCAGCCTCCTGAGCACTGGGATTACAGGCGTGCACCACCACACCCAGCTTGATTTTTTTCTTGTTTAAAAAAAAATTAGTTATCAATTCAGTTTCTAACTCATGGAAAAACAAAATGAACAAACTGAATAGCTATGAAAGAACCCTGCTGCTGAGAGGCTTACCTCTGCACAGTAACAAGGAGAACAGGAATGACTTGTGAGTCAGTGGAGATAATCCCTCCTAGGCAGTCCTTCAGGCTAGTCTGTTAGTGGAGTTACTAATCTCACCTTCAGGCTCCCTATTCTATTTCTCTCATCTAAGCCACATCTCTTGACAATGCTACATTGGAAGAAATGATTGAAATACAGGATTACTTCTTACTGTCAATTTTCTAAGAAAGTGACTTACAATGCTCTAGTATGAACTGCTTACCCAGTTCTTTGAAAGGAAGGGGATAAAAAGAAGCAGGGAGATCCTCACTGCAGTATTCTGAATTCTGCTGATGTTCAAGTCACAGTTTACTGAAAACCTTATGGTTAGATATTAATGATTAGCATCAACCCAATAAAATATTCAAGAAAACTTATCCCTGCCGTAAAGAAGAGTAGCAAATGAGGAAGGTATGCAGCACCCACCTCCTTGTGCAACACATGAGAACAAGCCATTGGATGCAGCTCACTGGGCTGAACAAGTTTCTGGCACATAAGACACAGCTTGCAAGTGGCTGGAGCCTGCAGAACAGAAAAAGCATAGTCACACAGTACAGAACCTCTGGGTCATTTTGCCTCTTACGCCCCTGGCCCTTCTATTATTTCCAGTAGCATAATGATTTTACACCAGAAGAAATAAAAGCCCAGAGACAGATTCTTGCCAAAAGTATACGCATATTCCCACTAAGGCTGCAAACAATGCAGCTGACAGGATGATGTTTTCTTCATTCATGTCACCTGAAAACCCACTCACTCCACACCCTCAGTTTCCCCAAGTCCCAGTATTAAGAGAAAAAGAATCTTACATGTGAAGACCTTCCAGGATATGAAACTTGAGCAGAAGGCAAGAACATTGGGGTACTGATTTGGGCCAGTGGAGCAGGGTACAAGGCCCGGATCCGACCAAGTGGCTAAGGGCAGAAAAAATTTTCAGAGTAAGGGAAAAGAGTGTAACACAGCATTTAGGAAAAAGAAATCATTAACTTCCCAGTATAGCAAAGCAGAAAAGTAGACTGGGTATCTGTGGTTATCATGTGTTTTCTTACCCACAATTCTTCTGAAGTCTGCCTCTTCTTCCACCCCTCAGTAAGCCTGAAGCCTTCCCACTCCTCTTACCTGAGTGCTTGCTGCCACCCGCTCTTGCTCGGCCAGTCGTGCGGCTACCAACTGGATCAGTTCCTCCATGGTCAGGCCGGCCATGGTGGTACGTGCTATCTTGATTTGCTGAAGAATGTTGGTCATCTGAGCCCTAAGAAAGGAAAGTGTTAATAGAGAATCTACGCTATAATCTTGGGGAACACCCATGAAACCGCCCCTATTTCAAACCAGAAGCACTGCTCTGAGAAAGATGTTTTAGTTGATCCTGAAAGATACCTACTTATTGCACTGTGGGAACCGAGTCAGCAGCTTCTCCAGGATCTTCTCCAGTTTGTCTACTGGTTGGGGCCGGGGAGTTTCAGTAGAAGCCTTAAT